GAGTGGGCAGAGGGAAGGGGAGGGGGTGCGGCGGGGAACGAGAAGTTCGGGGAAAAAAGTGGAGAACGCTGCCGTTAAGTGGTGGGCGAAAAACAAGTGAAAATAACTTCTTTTTATCATTCGTTTGAAAAAAAAACAGTAGAAATTTGTTTTGAACAAACAACAAAAAAAAGTGTTGTTTTTTCTTTTTTAGTTGCTTTTTCTCCTGCTACTAAACTGATGAAAGGTTCTTTTTTTTTGGGGGGGGGGGGGGGGTAGGGGAGGGTAAAGAGGGAGAAGATGGGGGAAAAGTTCTCCTGTTTTGTTTTTCACATTTTAATTTTTGCACTTTTTCCCCGTTTCCTTCTTCTCTTTTTTTTTCTTTTTGAAAATGTTTTAAATCAGCGGTCTGAAAAAAGTGGGAGAAAAGGAAAGAAAGTGGAAAATGGAATAATCAAAGATTTCCAGAAAAGAAAAAATTTATTTTATCAATGAACTAAGTTCATTGCTGTTTTTGGTCAACAAAAGTTGAAATTTTTTGTTTGGCTTTTTGGTTTTGTCATTAGAGTGGTCATTAATTAACACCAATTAACACAATGATTTTTTTCTTCTTTTGTCTTGCTTTTCCCTTTTTCTTCTCTCCTCCTCACTCTCCGGTTTGTCCCTTCCTCTTTTCTTTCTCGTCCCCCAATGTTGTTCTGTTCTGCACTTTTTTCCACGAGTTTTTCAACTTTTTTTAATTTTACAATTATTTTAATGACCATTTGTTAATTGTTCAATTGATACCTTGTGAAATCTTATTTTTTTTCAGTGTTTTTTTTTCTTTTTTGAGAGCTGAAACAAACATTGGTGGGAGAGATTGAAAAATAGCTGTAATAAAGTTTATTTATCCAATTCTTGTTCTTTTTTCATTGCTAAATTTGTCTGATTATTCAAATTAAAAAATTTTTTAAAAATTTATCTGATTTATTGTCGTTTTTCTTCTAATTATTACACTGCGTGTTTGCAATCATTGTCTGTTATTTTGTTAGCCGAAAAAATTAATAAAATTGAAGAGCTTTGAAAAGTTCCTCAATCTGTCTGTCTCTAAGTGTCTGAAAAAAAAAAGGCAAGAGTTAGTGGTGAAGGAAAACAGATGGATTGCATAATCATTTTTAAGACTTAATTATCTGTTTGCTTAAGCTGAAATCAGGACCAGAAAAAAACCAAGAATCAATTATTAGTGAAACTTACTAGTTGATTTTGATGATGAATACTTTTGACGAACAATAACTATTACCATTTAATGAATTCTAAGAATGTTCTGTGTTTGAAGCTGCTAAGTGTTTTAGATTATTGAGGAAATATTTACTGTATACTCAAGTTGATAGAATACCAATGACTTTTTTTTTTCTTTTTTAGAGGGTACATGAAGAATAATTTGATTTTTTTTTTGTTGGAAGCTTAATTACAAATGTTTGAAAAGAATACTACATATTTGTGGAGAATGGCAGGCAAAAGGAAAAAAAAAACTAGGCGTCGTAAATGGATGTTAAAAGTTTCAACCAAATGTGTTGTATTAAAGCAGTTGAATAAAATTTTGAAAGCATGCAAAAAAAATGCAAAAAAAAGAAGTTTTGAATAACTTAGCTTACAACAATTATTATCAATCGATTGTTGAAAATTTGGAGAGCACGGAACAACTGGTGCCAATTAGGGGATGTAAAGGAATGCTTTCTGGAAGAAAAAAAGTAATGGTACCTAAAAGTTAAATTGCCAACAATTTCCGGATGCTGGCTTTTTCTTTTTACCTTTTCTTACATTTTTTTTCGCTTCGAAACATTCAGTATGGTTAACTGTCTATTGTTGGAATTGTTCAGTTTGATTCGATTTATTTTTGGTTATTTTGTTAGTTTCAGCGATGAAAAAAAAAAAAAAAAAAGAATTTCTTGTCTATTAATCTATCGTCGGTTCAATTGGATTATCTCCATTCTCTGAACTGTTATTCCCCCCTCTCCCCCTAAACCCTCCGCCACACCTTATCCCCTTCCTTGCACTTTTTTCCACCATATTTCTGCAGTGTTATTTTCCGTCACTGTCGAACAATACTGTTCGGCCTATCAGTTTAGCTGAAAAAAATTTGCTCAAAAAATTTTATTATTATTGTACAACAAGAAGAGTATCAGTTTTTTTGGCTTTACATGCTTTTTTCTTGCTTTTTCTACTGTCTTAACTACACCATTATGAAAACTGATTTCATTTTTTTTTTTTTTATTTTCTAGGTTTATCAATTTTAAGAACTTTCATTTTCTGGCGTATTACCGTCTCAATTTTTTTGTTTTTTTTTTTCGTTTTCGACTCCATTAATTCTGTAAAAAAATTTTTTCAGTTTATGTGGTTGCTATTGTTGATGACCGATTAGAGGTTCAAAGAATAAGGACAGGAAAAGGGAAAGGAAGGAAAAAAGGTGTAGTTTACTTTTTTTTTGTTTATAATTTTAACTGATTTGAAAAGGAAAACTATTAGTGTATTATTGGAACGGAAGTTAACTGCCGGGGAATCGGTGGCGACAAGTTTGAGTGAACAAACAAAAACAACTTCGTTAAAGTTTGATTGTGATAAGACAGTTATTGAATTGGGTTGAACAGTCATGTATTTTATGTTTATACGGTTAGGCGGTATATTAATGGTATTAAGCTGAAAAACACTGTATTGTTATTGCGGAATTGGAAATGATGAGAAGAAGAAGAGGAAGAAGAAGGGAAGTGCAGAGGGTCAAAATTAAGAGGAAGGAGTGGAGGAGAAGGAAGAATTGAAGGATATAGTAGAGGAACGGTAGCAACAACACTAACAACAACAATAATAATACCAGCGCCAGGACCAGCAATAACAACAACAACAACAACAGGTCATGGCCTTCCTTCACTGTTTCCATCTTTTCTTCTCTTCTACATACCCTGTCTACTGATTTATTCCCCTCCCCAATTCCGGTCCCCCCTCCTTATTTGGGTTTTAATTTATTATTATATTAACTTTTCATCCTTGTTCAACAAGGCTTATTTGGAACCTGTTTTTTTACGCATTTATTTGTCTTTGGATATTTGATGATGTGCTTTTTTTCTTTTCTTTACTACTGCTACCTTTACCTTCTTCTTTCTTCTTCTTCTCCTTCCTTTATTTATTCTTTTTGTGGTCGTCTTATATCTATTTGCGTAAATCCTACAATTTTTTAATTCCAATTTTATCCTGATGTTTTCCTTTAAGTCTTTTTTTGACTAAAAATAAACCTTTTTTTTCTTTTTCATTGATTGTTAGAGGAAATAAACAATGACATTTTTTTCTTTCTTCACTTTTTTTTGACCACTAGTCACTTGCGGCCGTTTGACAAGTAGCTAGTGCGGTGATTTTGAAGTTAGGAGGATTAGAGAAACCGGAGGTGCACTCAGAAGCAACTGTGAGGAGAGAGGCAAAAGAACGAAGGGGGCAGAATAAAATCGAGGAGGGGGGAATAGGAATCAAATGCCTCTTAGTTTTTATCGTATGTCAGAAATTGTAGGAGAGGCAGTTATTTTTTTCGTTTTTACTTATTCCACTGCTGTATTGATTACCATCGCTGATATATTAGGCATAAAACTTTCTGTTCTGTTCCTATACTTTGCTTATAT